CATTTCTTCTAGTCGCATTATGATGGCTGGTTATTTAAGATGTATACCTGGATGTTTTCATTTATCGTTACATCCTATACTGCTTCAATTCGTCTTGTTCACCTATAACTTTCATTCATGGAGGTGTCCGTATTTATATGCTGCTCTGCCTGTCGTTCGAAGATCTGAGTGCTGATTCCAGTCCTGTTGATATGGCTGCGTTATCTGTGGCATGAACACGTTGGCTCTTTTTATGGCCTTCGTCGAGTTGATTTTCATTCCGTCTAAATCTGCTCAACTTTTGGAATTCTGTTCGTCCAACTATCATAAACTCTTCTCTTAATGTCGCTTGCTCATTAATGTTTACTTTTCTTCCTTCTGAGAAGTATAACCGCAATAAGAGCAGTATTTCATTCAATTACTTAGACTATTTGACGCTTAACTTTAAAGTTTTCTATTGCAAAAAAAAATAAGAAATAATTGCTAGCTAAAACAGCCTAACAATATATAGCGAAATCCTTAACGAGAGCGTTCTTACGACTTTTTCAATTTCATATTATTTAGTGTTTAGTTCAATTTTTTACAACCAAACGTAGCGAACTGTTGAGTTAATATTGGAGGCGGATTTGAATATTGTGCTCATCACATTACTTGTACTTCTAGGAAATGGAAAAATCTTGGTAAGAGACGTGGAAATCGGCACCTATGACAAAGATAAGAATCCGATTTGTGCGGACGGCAAGCCACAGATTACGTTTCCGGGATACTTTAAGGTACTTAAAGGTATGCATTGTTTTTTTTTACAGCTCGGAACTGTACACTTCTTCTGCACAAATCAAACGGCTAGTCCAGGTTCAGACAGGATTGAATGTTAGCTTCTAAAGAACCTCCTGTAATCCTCTCAATTCCACAGGTGTATTATGAATTTGGAAATGTTTTACGGAGAAGACCATGTATTATTCAAGTTCATCAACAACGATTCAGCTTTAAGATTTGATCTAGAAGGACGTCTGAAAAGCGTCACATTGGGATCTACGCATTGGAACAGAAAGAGTAGGGCGAGGGGCTATTTGAGTTTATCATGATGACCAAGTACATCCATGGTTACTCGCAATTCCAAAAGCCCCACCCTCAACGCTGGACATGGGAATCTCCCAGTGGAGAGCACCATAACGAAATATACCACATCATAGTAAACAGAAGTTTCAGACTAATCCATGTCGCTGTTTTCCCAAAATTCTGCGCGGGATCGGACCATCCCCTCCGTGCAAAATTCTATTTCTCGCGGACAGGAGAAAAAGCCGCTAAATCCAGAAAGCGAAGTTTCAAAACTATCGTAAACTGGTCTTATTTATTCATTGTTCATTAGTCGGTTGTTGGGAAGATGCCGTTGACAAAACATCGATGAAGAAAACGATTGGCTTATTCGAAATCTTCACGCTAAGGCTGTGGAGGCTGAGAATTCGAAATTCACCAAAAGGCTTCTGTTTCCAAAAACACTCCACCAGCGTGGAATCGCACGAGCCGAAGGCAGCTTCGTACATCGGAGCTTGCAAAACACTCTTTAAAACGATTAAAAGAGGTCCTGGTGAAGGGGCATGAGTAATGGACCAGGTTTGCGAAGATGAGAAGACCATTCGCACCAAGCAACGAAATTCTGCCAATTACGTTTGCACTCCGACACTCCTGCGAAACAATTACAGGGTCCAAAAAAGTTATTAAAAAATCATCCATTATTGTCTCAATAGCCAATTCCTGTTGTTCTCATATGAAATAAAGGATAAACATGTCGTTCCACCGATTCTCCCTTCTGAAATCCGACACGATGTTTTGCCGGTGAAAAATCGAACAGCACCAGGTTCAGAAAGGATAGGATCTGATCACCTGGAAAACCTTCCGAAAGTACTCATAAACACACTGGCACGGCTGTCTACACGTTACGTGCCACAAAGTTCCGAATTAATGGAAGACCACCAAGACTGTGTTATTGTCTAAGGCGGTGACCTCCATCATTTTCGCAACTATTGTCTAATCTGCTTGCTGTCTGTCTCCCAAAAACAACCCAATTGAGTTATCCTAAACAGAAGTGACAGAACATGTGACAAGTGACAGTGACAGAACCGCACCAGAAAGCAGGGTTTCGAAAGGCTTTCAGTATGGAGGACCGTATCCACACAGCAACGTGAATCATTGGGGTATCACGAGAGGACACCAGACCTCTCTGTCTCACTTTCATCGACCTAAACAAGTCTTTTGACCCAGTCGAGATAGAAGCAGTCATGAAAGCGCTGAACAGCTAGGGCGTCTCTGGTTAGTATATAAAGACTCTCTACGAGCTGTGCAAGGATTTGACAGCCAAAATATTAACATTCTATAGCGAAATAAGCATCGACGTGCGGAGTGAAGTTCGACATGATGATGAGGTCTTTCTAAACTTATTTACTGCCACCCACGAAACAGTTTTCGAAAATTGGAAAGAGACAACGTGAGTGTGAGAATCGACGGTCAGAGATTATATTAGAGCTTTAATCATTGGCCAAGCGGAATGAATGTTAGGCAACTTTGTGACGCTTGTTTAAAGGTTATTCTTCGACTAAAGCTCAAAAAAACGATGTTCATAAAGAAGCGATTGGTTTTGTTCACCCTACTCACGCTCAGTGGAGCGAATAGCTCACAAATGCTCCAGCCACGCCTAGCAAGGTTGGAAGTCAACATGTTAAACGATTTAACTGCAAGATTAAGCAAGAGGAACCGAGCGGATCAGGGAGCTCTTAAGAGCATCGAAAGTGTAGTCAGGGAAACAAAGAACACCCAACTCTGCTTCCATCTTTTCTACTCCATGGTCCTCCCAGCTTTAACATGCACGTCAACTTGGTTTGAGGAGATAGAAAATCATGATGATGCAGGCAACATTCAAAGATTTCTTGCTTCATTTATGATAAAAATGAATTTTTTAATGCTTATTTTGGACGAAAAAACGCAGCAAGTGTCTTAAAGCTAATTAATGAGAATCAGGCGATGCTACTATTCCATTCCGTTATTCGTTTAGGCCGACATCGTTCAATGCCTATATGTGTTATGAATTTTTAGGAAATCATCTTCTAAAGACACGGATCTCCCTCATATGAGTGCTCTCAAGCCGATTAGTCGCGAGGCTACGTGGCGTGACCCCAGGTGGCGGATAGGGGGTTAATCGCAGACCAAAAGCGACCTTTGCTTCCCTGAGGCGCAGGTGGATCCCAGCAGGTGGACTCCTTGTTTCTGCTGCGCCGATTTGGCACATAGTTTCTGTATTTACGAAGCGTATTCATTGACGCATGTGGGTGAGTTGTACTTCATGCGGATTGCATTATACAAGTCAATTTAGCCAGAAGCCTGCAACCAACTGACAGGAAAGTATGTGGAGGCGGATAGGAGTCGCCTCCAACAAATAAGCTCCATGTCCACTCTGAGAGGGCCTGGCAAGCTACCCATGAGTATACCCAGCCTCCACGGTCAGAGCCAAGCAAGCTATATGTGGATATCAAAAAAATGCTAAACGCAATAAAAGAACGGGCCTCATTCCCTTGACCCCGAAAGAGCCCCCGATTTCGCAGCGTTGGGTAGGAGGAATACGGAGAGGCTGCTAAAATCTCAGGGCCAATGGAAGCTGCCTGGATTTGAAAGAACTATGGAGACGATCTGTACCTACAATGCAAGCGCACTTGCATCCGAGTCCTCGATAGAAGACTTGCTCGTACAAGCAAGAAGGATAAGGTACGACGTCATCGTCCTGCCCTAGACGAGACGACGCCAACCATTCAACGCCCCCTATGACACTGGAGAAGAATTGTTCCTGGGAAGATGCGACAGTAGAAGAGCAGGCGGCGTCGGCGTTCTCGTCAACACGTGTTTTTCCATGAACATCGATTCATTCGAACAACTTACAACCTGAATCGAACGTTTACGATTAAAAAGACGTGGATCAATATTGGCCTTGACAAACTTAGTCGCTTACGTCCAGACATCAAACTAGGACGAAGAAGAAGTCTAAGCGTTCTATATGAACTTGGAGAAGTTCTACTGAGAAAACCACACATTCTTCAACGTAATCATTGGACATTTCAACGCCAAGATTAGACCAAGAAGAACGTCTGACGAACGTCACATTGGGACCCACGAATTAGAATGAAGCGAACAGGGTGAGTGGCTATCTGAGTTTATCATGGCGACGAAGACAATCCATGGTAACCCGCAATTCCAGAAGCCCCACCCTCTGCGCTGGACGTCGGAGTCTCCCAATGGAGAGTACCATAACGAAATAGATCACATTATAGTAAATAGAAGGTTTTGCTTAACCGATGTCGCCGTTGTCTCAAAATTCTACACTGCGGCAGACTATCGCCTTCTTCGTGAAAGATTCTATTTCTCGTGGAAAGGAGAAAAGGCCGCTAAATTTAAAAACGGAGGTTCCAGAACTGCCACAAACTGAGACTTGTTCAATTCATTAGTCGGCTGTTAGGAAGATGCCGTTGTCCATAACATCGACGAAGGATACGATCGGCTCATTGAATATGTTCACGTTAGCGCTATGAAAGCTTAGAGTTCGAAAGTCACCAAGAGACGTCTATCTCCAGAAACACTCGAGCTGATACGGCAGCGTGAAATCGCACTAGCTGCAGGCAACCGCGAAGTAACGTTTGAGCTTGCAGAAGAATGCAGACAGGCGATAAAAAAAGATCTTAGAGAGAGAAGAGCAGCAGTAATGGCCGAAGTTGCAAAGGCTGAGAAAAACATTTGCAAGGCCCACCGAAGCTTCGCCAATTACAAGACCAAAATGATTGCTGTCCGGCGCCCAGACGGAACAGTTACAGCATCCAGATAGGGAATGGAGAAAATCATTTACGGTTACTACTCAGGTCTCTTCTACGTCCACGTCCTTCTTCCCTCATGAAATAAAGGACGGTTGACAAGTCGTGTCACCGCTCAGACTGCTGTGTCTCACTTTCATCAATTTACAAAAGACCTTTGATTCAGTTGAGATGGAAGCAATCTGGAAAGCCGTTGATAGTGAAGGAGTTCCTGCTCAGTACCTAAAGAATCTCCGTGAGCTGTACAAAAATTTCACAACCAAGATATCACCATTCTACAACGTTATTAACATTGATGTCAAAAGAGGGTTAAGGCAAGGTAACACAATCTCGCCAAAATTATTTATCGCCACCCTCCAGAACATCTTGCGAACATTGGAATGGGATAATATGGAAGTGAAGGTCGATGATCGGCAGTTACACCACCTTCGCTTGGCTGATGACATCGTCCTTATAACACCAAACATTAGCCAAGCGGAACGTATGCTTGACAACTTTGCTAAAGACTGTGGAAAGGTTGGTCTTCAAATAAATCTCACAAAAGCGATGTTCGTGAAGAATGGATTGGTTTCGCATGTCCCATTCACAGTCAGCGGAACGTATATCTCTGAATGCTCCAGTTACATCTGTCTAGGTCAGGAAATCAATATGATGAACGACCTAGCTCCAGAGTTTAGTAGAAGAAAACGAGCGGCTTGGAGAGCTTTCAAGAGCATCGATGATGTAGTGAAGAGAATAAAGAATGCCTGACTCCGTGCCCAACTTTTCGAATTGACGGTACTTCCTGCCTTAGCGTATGCGTTAGAAACCTGGTCGCGGCGTAAGTGGGATGAAAGATCACTCAGCGTTATCGAACGCGCAGTCGAAAGGGCGATGCTAAAAATATCTCGTTTCACGTAGGTAAGGGTAGGGATCCGTAGCTACAAGCTGCCTCAACGATCAAAAATCAAAGATGCCGTTCTGTACGCCAAAGTCTCGGAGATAAGGTGGGTAGGACACGTAATGCATATGAACGACAACCGGTAGACAAGAACAGTTAGTGACTGGATTTCTCGGGATGTTGAACCCACTGCAAAAAGACCACCGACTGGATGGTGAGAGTTCTTCATGAAAAGCGTGAAAGAAAGATATTATGCTCGACGAGCCCCTTAAGCCAGCAGAACCCACTGGGCTACTCTTGCACGCGACGGGGAAAAATGGAAAATTTACTGGCGCCCGCTCGAGTCACTCGACGATCAACGGAACTTCAGGTGGTACAGGTGGTCTTCTAAAGATAATAGGTGCCATGACAACAGCTAGCGTTGAATCATGGGTACTATAACGCAAAATAAATCCTAGGTCTAAATCACCGAAGACTGCCTATAGTCTACTTATGTGGTTGTTCTTCGCTCTGGTAAAGCTGTATTACGATATTTTTTTTGAAGGATGGAAAACAACTCACATCATTTCTCGTATCTTCGAATCTACATATTCCAGCTGTTGCCTTTAAAAATTCTGATTTTGGAGTCATAAAATTAGCACTTCTTCAGAAACTTTTTATCTCGTTATACTTCACAGGGTTTTAGAGAAAACTGTATATTGGAGTTGTCAGTGAACAAAACAAGCAGCCGAATTGTCACTTGTCACAATTTTTGTCACTAACCAGTTAGTCACTGTTTGCCTTTTTTTCTAGTGCACGTTTGTAGGAACGGTGGAGGTAAAAGAAGGCGTTAAAGAAGATCAGCCACTTCAACTTTCTATTTCCTTAGAGAAGAACTCGTTCTTGGTTGGAGTTGTCTGTGAGAAAGGAAAGAGCAAGAATTCGTTCGTTCCCAATGAGATGTGGTGAGTAAGCTGAAAGATTTCCGAGTATTGAAATCGCGAAAGTTCGCGATTTTCTAGCTGTAGATGTTTTAACATCGTATTCATTCCATCACTCCCAACAGTTTACCGCCTAATAGTGGCTGGGACGGGTTCCTAGGTGTCGGGCTGCGATGTACACCGGAGGTATTCGTGCTCTGCAGAGTTCTTCCTGAGAAGGAGTCCAGCGATTCTACCAGGAGGCCTAGATAAGAGTAAGCCAGGATCCACCGTCTTCCTGGTATGAAACTAGTTGTGTGGTGGCAAATCACCCTTTGATCCACAAGGGCTGACACTGCCCGTGGTGGTGAAGACCTGTGGTAGACTTTGGCCAGGCTGACCTCGAGATTCGAGGGAAGCACAATGGCTAAACCAGCAAAACTCTGAAAAAGTAGAAATTATGCTGGAGCCTGCACAACCAATGAAGACGGACCGTCCAAGTACCCAAGCATTCATTCTATCTATTCGAATGCTTGAAAACTATTACTTCTTTGATTTGTGTAATTTCTATACACTACATAACTACCAGTTTTAACAATGTACTCAATGATAAAGTGATACAATGTGATATTCTTAAAAACGTTATGAATAGAGAGTTTGATTTCTACTTCAATGAAAATGTAAATTCGTTTCCAGAACTGCCGTCTGTGGCATGTAGTATTTTGAAAAGAATTGATAACCAAACGGAGAAAGAAACTGTTTTTTTTGATTAACTGCTACAGAAGGAGAATAAAACGATGCATTCCGTTTTCAGCGTTGAATAGGTAGTGAGCAGTTGACGTTTTGCTTTACGACACGAAGTTTTTAGAGTTCTTTTCAGTTCTTTCAATTTATGTGAGCTTTGGTCAATGTGTAATCTTCTTCGAGTGAAAACTACTACTTCGATCGATATCAAAGCACTCATCAAGCAGGAGTACCTCTACTTGGGTTCGATGCTGAGTCCGTATGCTTCGGTGGTGTATTCTCTATCGTTTTGACTCTAACGTAAACTTTGTTAAGCCAACGAACCCTGTAAGTGAATACTAATTAGTCTGTATGAGCAAAGAAAACATGGAATATTCGATTTCGATCGGTTTATTAAGAATGCGCCATGATTTTGTCTCCATTAAGCATCATAGAGCGACTAAGTGTATAATATGGCTTAAGTTATGGAACACGACGAATCACGTCAGTGTCTTCGTCCTACCAAACAACTCCGTTACCGATTCGCTAATCTCAGAAGAATGTAGTCTTTACCACGGTCGTTCAATTAAACCGAGTGTTCTCCCATTTCCAGTAACTGTGTCATATGTCTCGTTATGAATATATACAAAGTAGGATTGGCTCAATAGGAGAGCATCGTTTAACACAACTTATTAAGCTGTAAAGGTTAAAAAGGTTAAAGTTCAAGCCTAGTATAACAACCACAACGTTGCTGAGATATTTGCAAAACTCTGGACCGCAGGTGTCTATGGTGGGAAACGAACGCGCTATTATTCTGTATTTCGCTTAGTAACCTGCCATGAAAATTATAGAAGGCAGAAAACAAAACGTTAAACCTAGTATAACAGGCAAGATCCTGGTTCGATTTCGCGCCCTGGCCGTTGTTGTTGTTGTTGCTGTTGTTTTTGTTGGTCGATGGCTGATGTTTCGGCGATTTCGCCTTCCTCAGAGCCGTAATGTTACAAGTGAATCTCACCTGGTGTAAAATCAGTTCCATGATCACAAAGGATAAAGGATAAAGTTCCCGCCGTTGATCAATACTTGAGGGATCCGCCATGCATTCGATTTCATCAAGCATCGTTTGGATGTGATTGAATGCAAATGGGGCCTTTACAATGAGTTCCGGTGGCCTATCGATATATCGAGCCAGTGCTGCTATCCTCCCAGACAAGTTTGGTGCCAATTTGCCAACTCCAGAGGGATGGAAGGCTTAGTGGGCCAAGGGCGCGGGGATAGATTCCACGCTTGTTTTACAGAACGCCTCCGACCACTGCGCCACACGCGTTCCTGCCTTAATTACATAAATTATGAAATATGCTTAAGTGATCCATTTCCTTCTATTGTATGGGTCTCTATGAATTGCAGCGCTTTTTTTGTTCATTGAGCGCTTTTTTGTTAATTTTATTGTTTTTGCAATAATCAACGAACGTGGTGACGTTGGTGCATGAGGTTTGAGGCGACTTAGGGTGCTTTTATCTCCTTAGCGATATGTTAAAGACTGAAGAATCGTGGTTTTCCTTGGAATTCTTCATAAATGTGCCAAGGCATCCATAGCTATTGACCAAAGACAGTATCCGGTTTTAATAGACGGAAGCTTTGCTTACCCAGCGGCTAGTAATCTCCCTGTTGGGACGGCTCGTTTATATAGGAATACCAACTAGTTAAGACGATTTAGTCAGAATTAGCTGCTCACCTTTGTGTGCCCCACGCGGGACTTCTTGTAAGTAGCAGTCACAAAGCCGGACACCTAAAACTTGGGTAGCTAAACCGTTTATTATAATTATGCAACAATTATAGTATAACAATGCAACTACAACTAATTCAATAATGATACAGATAATGAATAGGCGCAGCCTGATTACTGGTGTTCAGGTTGCTTATGAGTGAAGAGATTGGCATATGACTTTTACTACCTGAGATGGATGCGAGGCACGAATACGGTGACTTGGGCAGCATTGTTGTGACATGAGCTAGCTAACCGTGGAGCCGTATATATACCTTTTTCGCTGGGCGGAGTTAGACTACAGTAGGCGGAAAGACGGGTGCTGTAAACATTTCTCAAGCATTGCAATTTGATAGGGCGATATTCAAAGCCTAGGACCGTAAGTGCAGATATTTTACGAGTTAGGCGCCAGCGAATTGTTAGACATACGGCTATCAGATCGTCATGGAGAGAAGGTCATGGGAGAAACATTTGAAATGTTTGAAAGGATTTGAATTGTTTTACATAGAGAACATTCCAATATTCGTGAAGTTTCTATACTTTCAGTGAAACGGTAAGGTTGTGTATTCTGCAGTTGTTCAAGTGAATCATGCAAAAGGCGAAATTTTTCCGCAAGCAACCTTGTTTTCTTATATAAATAAATCCTTTCTAGTTTACTAACGACCCTACTAAATCGAGTGGGATATTAATGAGTGAAACAATTTCTGTCTTTTAGGGTGAATGGAAAGTTTCTATGGATTTGATTCAAGGCCAGAATGTGTTAGGTGGTCTTCAATTAGGAAAACTCACTGAGTGGTTGACCGTTGAGGTGAGTTACCTCTGAGATTTCATTTTTGTTTGGAATCAATTGAAAAGGCTTCATTTCTGTTGTCGCTTTTCACACCTGGAACTAGAGAAAGCAGCAAAAAACTGCTTGTGATTGGAATAGAAAAGTAAAACGAAATTCTTCGTTAAAAAGAGGAAGTCCTGATTCGACTTTCGTCAACGACCAAGATGTCAAAAGTCAGATGGCTGAAAACCTGGTGTGTTTACACGGCACCTAGTGCGTAATTAGCAATCAGTGGAGTATAGCCGTTAGTGACTAAGCTCCATTGAATGGAAACCGTCTAACAGTAAGAGCGTATAGTTGATGGTTAACCTTCACAAAGATTCTAGAAAAAATATATGATTCCGTGCGATTACTTGCTTTCGTTCGAGTAACTTGACAACTAGGGAAAAGACATATGATATAGATGATGCGATTAGGCATACTTTCCTCGCACTTGGAACTCTCTTCCTTCATATTGTCTTCATTTTTTCTGAAAGTTAATCCTAATTTCCTTCCTTTTTCGATTTCTTCTAGTTAATCTTTATATTCTATTGGAAGACTAAATCAAAGACTGCTTGAAAAAAAACGTGGGCTGGCACGCCAATCACTAAATCACGGCTTGTGTTTTAATCTGTATTAGATCAGAATAGGCTCTATTAAACGAAATAAAAACCATTG